TTAATCTTTAAACTACTTGTACAAGCTTATGGCATCTACTTCTTGGCCTTTTTGATAGAAGCTAGACCAGCATAAAACAGAGATGAACGATGTTCAAAGTTTTGTAATAAATTGTCTAATGGTTTGTGCACAATGCAGCTGGTCCCTGGCGGCTCACCTGAAGTGGAATGAGAGGGTAATCAGCCACTCTGCTATTGAAATATTTAAACTACATGTGGTTCGGGGGAGATCGTTTCTCTTTGTTTTCTCCACCCGGCCCTCTTGTTAGTAGGAAGCGACGTGGTTCTAGGACATGTTAAGGATATGGTGTATTATGTTTCTTCTAATTAGGAGTTGTGTTGATTTTTCAAATACAATGACACAGGCTGATCTTTATTATTGTTCCCAAATGTAATGGAAGTTAAGAGTTTCTGTTGCTGACCCAATTTGTGCAGTTTTCTGATAATTTCATGTCTTTCGGTTTTGTGTGTGGAAATCACAAGAGCCAATAGCAGTATAGACTCCTTCCTGCCACTTTGGCGGCCGCTGTGGCCAGCCACCGGTCATGACACTCACGCCACCTAAAAAATTAAAAAACTAAAAGCAAAAGTTTCGATACGTAGCCGGTTTCTGTTTTCTATGTGACCGAAAGAGGTGAAGAATAAAAAATTGATGTTTAAAATGAGAAAGTCGTGGAAAGGCTGGCATGGGTTTTGCCAAATGGAATCGAACGAAAGCGACAGTCAATAATTTTTGCTTGTTCTGTACGCAAGAGAAAATAAATAACTTTTTAGTTAATGAGAGTGAAATAGTTTATAGTAGTGGAGAAACTTTTACATGTATTGGAAATATTACTGAATATATCATTTCACGTGTTATCTTATGAGTATTGAGTTGTTAAAGTTTAGGTAATACTTTTAGAGTGAATTTCAAATGTATAATTTAGGCTATCATAAAAAATCGCAGCAATTCTCCAACTTTGAGAAGTAGTTCCTTTAGAATTAATGAACAACAACCATTACTTAGGTATAATGTTAAACATATACATAATACATGTATTATAATTTAAATAGAAAAATAACACGACGTTGCGGCATTACAGACACACCTATTTGAATTTACTACACGTATGTCGGTTTGTTGACGTTCTAATCTTAATTTTCTAATGTCAAATATTTGCCTGTCAATTCACTTTCCAAAAATTGGATTTTGTGGTTCTCTTGGTATTATTGATCCTTGGAACATCAAACAACCAATTCTCAAGTTATTACAATCAATATTACCACAATAGTGAAAATAAATTTATACCTTTCTTATTATTGAAAATAGACTTATACTTCTCTAATTATTGAAAATATATTTATACCTTTTTTTCATTATTGAAAACGATTGGATCCTCTTTGTAAGTGTGAATTTAGTTAAAAAAACGAAAATAAATTGTCAAGCTCTCGTCCAGTGTTATTGTCACATCCCAGTCCGAGCCCCCACCAACATCTCGGGCTCAACTCCCACTAGTAGAAAAAACACTTTGCGCGACGAAAACTTGCGTGACGCAGCAAAATTAGTCGCGCAAAGTGTGTTTGCGCGACGCGAAACACAAAACGTCGCGCAAACGGCTTTTGTGCGATGGCACTTTGCGCGACGAAGACCTATGTCGCGCAAACCAGTTTTGCGCGACGTAGGTCTTCGTCGCGCAAAGTTCCGTCGCGCAAAAGCCGTTTGCGCGACGTTTTGTGCGTCCCGCAAGATTTTGGCGCCAACCCAAGTTGGTTTGCCACATTTTTCGTTGACTTTGCACGACGCAGGTCCACCTACGTCACGCAAAACAGCTTTGCGTGACGCATGTTTACCAGTGTAGCGCAAAGTCAACGACTTTTTTTCCATATTTTAATCAGTTTGGGAGGTAGAAACTGCAAACTAGTTGCAGCAGCTACCTCCCTCCCCCATATCTCTTCAAAACCTTCTCCAATTCTCTCCCTTCCTCAATCTTTTTCTATCCGGTAAGCAATTTGATTTTGTATATGTAACTTTGAATTGAGAATTCAAACTAAAACTACTAAATTTGTTTTGTACAGGATTTTTGTATACAATTATCATTGAAGAACGAATTTGAAGGTATTTTCTTCATTTAAGAACGAGGCAGTGTTGGTTGCCAAGCTTCAACACAGAAATCTTGTCAGGCTTTTAGGTTTTTGCTTGGAAAGAGAAGAAACCTTACTTGTTTATGAATATGTGCCTAACAAAAGCCTTGATTATTTTCTGTTTGGTATGTGAACATCATTTGATGAGTATACATATATGTTTGTGTCAGTATATATAATTCTTTGTAGTTCCTAACTACAAAAAGTACTACTTGAACTTGATAAATTTACAGAACATAAAAAACGAGAACAACTAGATTGGTTGAGCTGCACCATGATAATTGGAGGAATTGCTTGAGAGAAATTTTTTATCTTCATGAAGATTCGAGGCTTAGAGTTATACATCGTGATTTGAAAGCTAGCAACATTTTATTAGACATCAACATGCATCCGAAAATATCAGATTTTGGGATGGCTAGAATGTTTGGAGTTGATGATCAAACTGAAGGAAATACCAAAAGAATTGTTGGCACTTAGTAAGTTTCAACTTATACAAATACCTCTATGAAAAGAAATTAAGAGTACTAACTTACATGGTTGAAATAACCAACGTGCACAAGGTATACTACTTAAGTTGTACACGGTTATTTATAGGCGAAAGTGAGGATTTGAGGATTCAATTACTTTCTATTTTTCTTATGTAATCATCAAGTAATTGAAGTAGGACTGATTTGTTGTTGACCAATTCAACTTGGCTATCTTTTTCTTTTGAGTTTTGGTTCACCTTTTTGAGTTTTTTAAAATATAACTTTGCGCGAGGCTAGAGTGGGCCAATGCGTCACACAAAGACTGTTTGAGTTTTTTCTTTTTTTTGTTAGGACATCTTGTATGTACATTTTCATATAGCTTATAATTAAATATTTTTTCTCGGTTTATTATTTATTGTTTAGAATTTAATTACAATATTTATTAAAAATTAAATCAAAAATAGTTTTGTAAAAAATAAAAAAAAAACGTTTGTGTGACGTATATACGTCGCGCAAAGAGATCTTGCGTGACGTTAGGCATGCGCGTCGCGCAATCAAACTTTGCATGACTTATGTACATCGCGCAAAGAGACCTTGCGTGACGTTAGGAATGTGCGTCGCGCAATCAAACTTTGCGTGACGTAGGCACATCTTTGCGTGACGTATGTGCGTCGCGCAAAGAGACTTTATGTGACATTAGGAATGTGCGTCGCACAATCAAACTTAAAGTTTATTTATACTTTCATTAAGTATAACATAAGATTTTGTGGTATCCACTTGTGTTAATACTTTAAATTGACGATCGAATTAGTTCATTGTATTCATATAGGATCCAGGAGTGTAGCTGTAAAAAATCATCAAAATCGGAGTTAAAACTACCGTTAAATCGTGATTTTTCCTTTATAACCGTCGAAATTTTTTGTCCCGTTACTTAATCTCTGCATGTTTGTTTTTTGCCATTTTTGGCGTATGCGATCTCGAAGCATATACAAAAAAGTTTGACGGTTGGATCGTTCAAATTAGTTTCGTACAATGCGTTTCCCATCAAAACGATAGATTCACTAACACTTAGAGTTTATTTATACTTTCATTAAGTATAACATAAGATTTTGTGGTATCCACTTGTATTACTACTTTAAATTGATGATCGAATTAGTTCATTGTATTCATATAGGATCCAGGAGTGTAGCTGTAAAAAATCATCAAAATCGGAGTTAAAATTATCGTTAAATCGTAATTTTTCCTTTATAACCGTCGAAATTTTTTGTCCCGTTACTTGATCTCTGCATATTTGTTTTTTGCCATTTTTGGCGTATGCGATCTCGAAGCATATACAAACAAGTTTGACGGTTGGATGCTGAAGAGTGATGGACTTGGCGTATGCGATAAATTTTTTAATAATTTTCTTAAAAAAACAAATTACTTTGCGCGACGCTTTAATGTAATCGTCGCTCAAAACCACTTTGCACGACGTCAAATTGTATACCCACGTCGCGCCAGTTGAAAATTTTGGAGGTAAATAGTGAAAGTTAGGCGCTTTTTTTTTTTTCAATTTTCTAATTTTGTGAACCTTGAACCCGTTCACCTCTTTCTTTCCAGTTGAAAACCTTGAACCCTTCCATCTTTACCGTATTCATCTCTCTTCCAGTAGACGCATATCCTCTTCCCATAGTCCTCATCTCCTCTATCTTTCCCTCTGGCTCCATCTTTCCCGTTTGGGAACCCTGTTGACTTCATCTCCTCTATCTTTCCCGTATCTCCCATTCCCATAGTCCTCATCTCCTCTATCTCTCCTCTTCGCAACCTTGATCCCCAAATCTTGAACCCAGACCTGTCTTCCCTCACTCTTTCCCGTATACCTATCTCTTCCCTCTCATTCTAAACGACGGGCAGCCACACGATCGAAACCGACGGGAATCAACTCCCAAAATCAAGGTAAGGGTTTCTGATGCAAATGTTGGTCTGGTTACTGAATTTAGTTGGTCTGATGCAAAATTAAGGATGAATTGATTTAATTAATTTACTGAATTTAGTTGGTCTGATGCAAATCTGGGTTTTAGTTCTTAAGCTTCACTGGGTTTGGTCAACTGCCAACCTATCTAAGCTTTGTAATGCACTCTTTCATATTAGATAACAGTATCTTTTTGTTTATTTTCAGTTGATTCAGTCACGCATTGGTTTGCAACAACCGTACTTGGTTTGCCTCGTATTCAGTCACGCATTTAGTCACGCATTTGTTCAAAAGATAACTCAAGGTTGATCCAGTATAAGGTTATCCAATGATTCCAATCTGGTTTCTCATATGATTTTATTTTTTTGCTTAGCTGATTTACGCGTGTTATTAATTCACCTTTCCTTTTTTCGCTTTTCTACTCTTTATTTTCTGTCACCTTTTAACATACCTGAAAATGATATGAATGCATACTTCAATTTTCAAGGGCAAAAGTTTCTAGCAAAAGTTAGTCTTCACAAGGTACTTGCAGATTCAATATTTTGCTAATGCATTTTAATTGATCAACGTATAAATAGATGCCTTCGCAACATGCTGCTATCTATTGTTAATACTTTCGACCTGTCGCTTGGATAATGGTTTTGTTCTTCTGGTTCACAGGTAAAAGTCATTTTCTTCTCAAAAACAGGGGTGCGTGCTGCTCCATTCATACGCCAAACTGCTAAAAATTATTGGAGTCATGCTTCTTTTGCATTCGTGCTCTGGTAAGAAGAGGAATTGTCCTTTTGGTTTAATTCTTGAAAGAGTATTGTTCTCCAGGTTCTCCAGATTTTCAAAATATTATGTGACTTGAGTCTAAAATAACACAAACACTACTATTGTGAGTTTAAACTTGAACTATTACTATAAATTGGGTACCGAAAATTATGCATCTTTGATTTCATAGGAACTTATATGCTTTCCAACAGGTTTGAGGTAAAATCTACACCTGCTATAGTGATTTTGAAAGATCCTGGTGTCAAACCTGTTGTGTACCACGATTGTACATATAATTGTTAGTTTGATTGCTCTGGGGAGTTTGGTATTCGAAATGGGTTTTGGCTTTTTAGTCTATGAAAATGATTGCTCTGGGGAGTTTGCTATTCGAAATGGTATATTGGGAAGTATATATAATTGTTAGTTTGATTCATATAATTGTTAGTTTGGTAAAACCGTAGTTCCAGGTTGAAATTCTTTTCATTTCCGTTATTGCACCCTTTTAGAAAATTAACATTTTGGCATTTTACAGGCAATAGAACTATGGAAGACAAATATGAGGCATCCTCAGGCATCTAAGGTCGTCAACAAGGACATAATATCGCACTTTGTTCTTCGGCTAGTTTATTGCAAAACGTAAGAACTTGTAACATTTTATTCTCGTAAAGATTTCCTTATTATATCTTATTTTATGTTGTTAATTTTTATTCTGCATAACATAAATTTTCCTTTTGCTTATTTAATTGGCATTGACTTACATATAGTATTCATGCATGTTAGATGTATTCTGGAAAATCTTGTTCTTTTAGATAGTTGTGAAAAACCTATATTCTTGTTCTGAAGAATGAGCCCTGCATATGGCTTTTCCAGATTTGTAGGAAGTGTTAACTTTTCACAGGGGATTGAAACTAGAAAACATTTGATGCACATACTTATATATGATATGCCTGACTGCTTAACCCACTGCCTCGAGCTATTACGGTATTACCTTAGATGAGAATTTTACTCGAAAAGACTTAAGCAGTGCAGGACCCGACCATTTAAATAATAATTTATTGTTTTTGTTATTTTATTTAAGCTTTTTTTAATAATTTCTTTCAAATAGTCGCACTAACCTATATATTGTATGTTTAACAGAAGAAATCTATTGCTGGCAAGAAAGCTCGGGACTCAAAGACACTTCTCCACCATTCCGGTTCGAAGCCCTTTTCGTATAGGGTTGAGGCACGACGTGAGGTAAAAGTATATTAATTTTGAAATTTTATACAATTTATTTTTTATTATTGATTAATAAAATTTTCTTAATGTTTTTTTTTCTTTAGGAGGGTTCTAAGTTCCCACAGATTGACCTGTTCAAGCATGTTTACGTTCATCCCAACAATGAGAACAGTGACCAGCTTTATGTAAGTATATGTAATTGTTATTTTTCTTATTTTTATGAATCGTTCAAATATTATTTATATTTTGTTATTAAACATTATATGTTTTTTCTTTATTATTACAGGGTGATATGGTGGAAAAGAGCATTGCTATTCTCCAAGAAGCAACATCGCAACTTCCCCTAGAGACCCCGATCGAGGACGTCATTGTACCCAAGGATGCAGATGTTCAGATCGTGACTGAGGTCCTGGATCAGAAGTTCGGTCGTCGTCATGGTAAGGTTGTTCGGTGTACGGGGAAGGCGGGGGTTCGTGAAACGGGTGCCTCTTCTTCCAGATTGTCCACAGGAGAGGTCAATTCCTTGAAGGAGGAAGTGACAACCCTAAGAGGTCAGGTTGCGGCCCAGGACGACCATATTAGGGCCCAGGACGAGAGGATGAATATGATTGTTCAGGCCTTAGCAATGTCCGGCCTCCAAATCCCGACAATGTTGCTCCACCTTCGACTTCCCAGCCATTTCGCCCAAACGATATCGAGTAGCATGATGTATTAAACTTAGAAGACTTGCAGTTTTTTATTTTTTTTGTTCGGACAAACGTACATTTTCATATATTCTATAATTAATTACTTTTTCTTGGTTTATTAATTATTGTTTAGAATTTAATTATAATATTTATTAAAAATTAAATAAAAAAATATAAATGACAAAAAAAAAAAAAGGTTTGCGCGACGCAGTGCCTACCTATGTCGCGCAAAGCTACTTTGAGCGACGCAGGTCCTACGTCGCGCAAAGTATCTTTGCCCGACGTAGTGCCTACCTACGTCGCTCAAAGTAGCGTCGCGCAAAGATACTTTGCGCGACGTAGGCACTGCGTCGCGCAAAGTATTTTTGCGCGACGCAGGTAGGCACTGCGTCGCGCAAACCCTTCCTTCACTGCCTTCGCGCGACGGTTCTTGCGCGTCCGTCGTAACACGATATTATCCGCTTTGAACCTTGACCATGCCCTCAGGGTTTTGTTTCTGGGAACTCACACGAGACCTTCCCAGTGAGTCACCCATCCTGAGAATGCTCTCGCGCGAACTCGCTTAACTTCGGAGTTCCGATGGAATCCGAAGCCAGTGAGCTCTTAAAAGGTCTCGTGCTAGGTAAAAATGAGAATATACATATAAGGCTTACAGGATTCACTCTCCTAAGTGATGTGGGATGTTGCAGTTATGGTCTTGATTTAAATTGTGAAAATGGCTTAACTGTGAAATTCCCGATTGATGAAAATTGCTATGAATCTAATTACAAAATTCAATAAAGCAGAGAAATACACCAAATTCATTAAATTATATATATTGAGGTCAAATAACCAAATCAAGGAAGTAAATATAAAATTCTTAGCAAAATACACTTTTGCATGTTTATAACTGTACGTACAACTGAAACACAACTCCTCTTAGATTAACTATTGTCGTCTGCAAGAGAAACTATGGTGGGCTAGGGTAAACGTGGTTGCTGATGATCATAATCTTCTTGGTGCTGGATGCTTTGGCCTTGTCTCCATCGTCTGCCAAGACTCCGGCAGAAGGGGAAGCTGCAGTAGAACTAGTAGGGCCTGGAAGAAGAGACCGGAAGCATTGGAGAATATTGTCGAGAATCAAGCTTTTAACTGATCTTCTCTTCGCTGGAACCACACCCCCAGGTTTTGGTTTGAGGCAAAATGGCTTCGCTTCTGCTGAATTTATCTTCATTTCCATCTCCATCTCTCTCTCTCTCTCTTCACAGTGTGTCGTGATAATTTATTTCTGAGTATAATTCCGGATGGGTTTAAATAGAAAAAACAATGTTACTGTAGTTGTGGGAAGGAATCGTAAACAACTAGAAAGGAAAATGCAGATAAACTGAGCTATCAAAACGACTAACTAGTTTCGTGCCATCATATCCCTATCAATGTCGGCATAAGGTGAAATAAATCACATCAATGGACTTAGAGAATCTCCAATGAGCTCCTTAAATGAGCATATATATAATATTTAGGTAGAATTTAAAAAATCAATTCCAATCATGCTCCCTATTCAAGATAGGGATTCATTTAGGCTATCTCCAACCGAATGATGGTTAGATGGCTCGTTTTAGTCATCTAGCCCTCCAAGAAATTAATATTTTAATAAACAGTACAGGGCCATATTTGCTTCCATTTCCAACCGATGGCCAAAAGACCATAGGGCTCGTTTTAGCCCTATCGCAAAAAATCGTCTTCAACTGAGGGCCAAACATAATTTATTATTTAAATTTAATGTTATTTAATGTTGTATAATGGCTTAGGAAATTATAGGAAAAAAAATAGAATTAAAAAAAAACACACGTTTAAAAAATTTTGTAAAAAAAAACTGTAAAAAAAAAATTTCAAAAATAACAGCTAGCTGATGTCAGCTAGCCATTGTATTTGAAATTCGGCCTAGCATTCCTGTCGGATATAACCGACATGAATAATTAACAATACTGTCGGTTATATCTGACAGGAATACTCAGCCCTCTGGCCTAGCCCTCGGTTGGAGACGGTTTTCGGGCTATTTTCGGCCCTCTGGCCCTCTAGACCCTTCAGTTGGAGATGGCCTTAGGAGCTCATAGTGGTTCTCTATAATTAAAATTAACTGTTTTAATATTATTTTAGATAAATAATTAACTTCTATCGGCTAATTATTGAGTCATAGTCATTATAACTCTCTAAAGTAGAGAGCATGATTAGAGTAAGGGGAATTTTATTTGAACTCAAATGACCTTTTTCTATACCCAACTTACTCTCTACACCCATATTATTTTTTACTAAACTAAAAATATCTCTTTAAACCCAAATTTATTACCTAAACTACTACCCTCACGAACCCAATTCAATATATAAATTTATATTTACACCCATTCAAAAATTAAAAACCACAAATTCATTAAACATTTAATCTTTCCAGGCTAAAATATTTTCTTATGCAATAACGTACCTGGAAACTGATTGCATCTCAGCTAGCTAACCACTTGTACAACGGTCACAAGAAGCATTAGGTGGAGTCGATGGGAGACCTACTCTTAGTTGATAGATATTCGGATTACAACCACATATGTAAAACTGCTGGCCACAGATTCTGGATCTTCAAGTTGGAGGCAAATGAGAAGAAATGGGTTGAGCTTGGGGCGGGAGTTTTGGATGATCGAATATTGGTGCTGGGGGATGACGGCTGCTACTTCGTGTCTAGTCGGGATTTCCCTGGATGCAAGGGGAAAAGCATTTATTTCAACGAGCCTTGGTATGAGAAGTCGTATAAGCATGAGCTAGCAAGAATGCTACCCCGATTTGGAGTGTTCAGCTTAGATTCTGGCAGCAGCAGCATCTTGCGGCTAGCAGATCTTCCGAGTTCCGAGAACATGTTTTGCCCACCCCCAACTTGGACTTGGCCTGCAAACAAGCCATACTCTTTCAAACACAATCATGGGGAAGATTCCATATCAACTTCAGAACCTACTTGTATTAAGAAATTAACTTAAAAAATAAAAATTTCCATATAATGACACGTGAGCATAATAAAAAATTAATTTTCCTTCATTTATATAATGATACATGAGCACAAATGGTGTTTTGGGGATGCAAACAGACACCGGCAGATAAAAACAATAAAAGGGATGGTAGTAGGATAAACAAAAAGTGATGGTAGGGTTTAATGGGTTTATTGATAAATTTGAGTTTTATTATTAATTTCATTTTGTACTTAATAATAATTATGCAATAGGGTAAAATAGACAATTAACAATTTAAATTTAAGTTTGGTGTAAAAAGAGGTTACATGAGTTTAAATAAAATTTCACTTAGAGTAAAGAGCTTCTAGAATAAGTTTTAGAATGTTTTAGCTAAAATTTTGTTACAAAAACACTTTCATTAATTTAAAAACATTTGCAAGCGAATTCACTGTTCAGATGATCATCAAATGGTGTTATAATTCACCTAAATTAATTATACTAAATGTATATGCATTTTATCAATATATTCCAAAAGTACGACGTATCAATATTTATAAGAATACACCACATGACAAGTATTATAGTTCCAACGACCCAAAAAAAATTACATTCCTATGACAGAAAAGGTCTGCCAAGAATTCAATACGTAGGTTTTGCAACTTCCATGCACCATCCATTTTTATAATACGCATAGTATTTTGTTAAGAATTCAATTTGTTGGTATAATACACATATTTATGCTGAGAAGCATGACTCAATACGCATAATACGAATATAATTACGACCCCATGAGTAATAAGTACTCGGGTGGAAGCTTCCTCTTTAAATGGACTTGAAAGCTTCCTCTTTGCCATATAAAACACGTTTTCTATTTGTTTTTCCTCAAAAGAGTGTAAAACACGGCTAATCTGTCATTTAACAGCATGCTACAAGTGGTTTGCCCCATAGATTTGATCGATTCAAATGTGTGCGTCACCTTATCACCCCTTATGATCAATGGCGGATCTAGGAAATACTATTAGGTGGATTAGTAAAAATAGCGCGCGCAGTGCGAAATTTTTTTTATACTAGAAATAGCATGCATATTATCATTTCATCGAGTCTTGGTAGGCCTGAAGTCATTTGAAAATGCATACTACAGACATGTTAATGTAAGCAAGGGGCAGCACCCAAGGTATTCATGGACATTCATCAAGTTTTGGTAGGCTTGAAGTCGGTTGGAGGGCAAGTATGAAGCCAGCTCTAATCTTTAAAAGGGCAACGCTCAAGGTATCCATGGACATTCACCGAAATTCGGAGGGTCAGCACTTAAGGTGTCTATGGACGTTCATTGAAGTTCGGGGGGTCAGCTGACCCCTTGCCCCTTAATGGATTCGCCAGTGCTTATGATTATTGTATTTTTATCATACAAATTTTAGTATTTTTGTTTATTTTTTTAATTATTGTTTAGAGATCGTCTATACAAAAATAATCAAAACAATTCTTTAGCCACATATATGTGTCGAATAAATAAATGGTGTCGGTATCAAGTAACATATTCATGGTGAACCGTTCATTTATTAGATACATTTATAGATGATTGAACGTTCTCTAATTTGATTGATATTTTTAAAAGATAATCTTTAAGTAATGGTTAAGAAAATAAATAGTTCTAGTTATGAAATTTGTATGGTGGTGTACTAATACGTTATTTGTAAAGAATGAACAAGGTGGTGCACCCCCTTAAATGGATTCAAATTCCCTTGTTCCCTTGTTTTCATTATTTGTATGGTAGTTTAAAATGTAGCAGAAAGTATATCAATTCAGCAACTTGTGTTCCTTAATATTGTTACCCAACAATAATAATAATAATAATAACTAGCAAAAGTCACACACTATGTGTGATGAGATATATATATTTTAAGTAATGTTAGAGAGACTAAATTTACAGATAAAATTTTGAAAACTAAAGGACATGCAAGTTGATGATTAATTTATTATTTACACGTTGATAAACGTGCTTATTCTTATTGGTGCACATCATTTAATTTGCAAATTTAGTGTCCAAATTTGGTCTCGCTAGTATTATCCATATTTTTTTTTATATTTTTTTAAAATATTTGTATTTTTTTTATGGGAGGAGTTATTTGTTTTTAACATGTTGGCAGACATCCCAAAAAAATAAGGGTTGGCAGTTAGGAGGGAGAGAGAATGAGTTGTGAGGGTATTGATAAAGTAGCATAGCTTTAAGTTTTAGAAAAAAAGCAGAAAAACTTGTTTGTACAAAATTACTTTAATAGCCACATTGTTTTCTTTTTTATTATCTTCTTTTAGTTTTGTATTAAAAGGGTATATAAGTAAATTTTATTAGTTTCTAGTTGACAGATAGTGTTTTATTAATATATACTTTAGATAACAACAACAACAACAATAATATTAATAGTAATAATAATAATGTTCCTCAAGCGACGCTCTCTAGGTTTAACATTCTTCTACACTTTTCTCCTGCTTAATTATTTCTCTTTCATATTTTTCTCCAACATACATAATAGGTGAGATTGCTAATTATTATATAATAAAGATTGAATCATATGAGAGCATGCATAATGTATGCAAATTAACCTAGGTTAGTGTCATTTAGCATTAAAATTAAGAAAAAAAATATCAAACTTTTAACGGGACATATTAGCTAGCGCATAGTAAAATAGCCCAAGACTCTTCAAGGAGCCAGTTTAGCTACATCTCTTGCCCACAGCTTTTTTAAAACTAGTTATCTAACTAACACTTTTAGCTCTGCCCTCTCACATTATTAGAACAATAAAAGAATTGGAAGATTAGATTTAATGAATCGTGCATGATAAAAAGAAGGGAACTTTAACGAAAAGCACCTGGTACTGTTCACTTTAACGAAAAACCACATTTTTACATTAAAAAGTCAATCCTGGTACTATTCACTTTACCCTTTATTTTGTCCTTATCATTAAAACTCAAAGTTTTCAAGCCCTTTTCATTAGTTTTCCTTAAAAAGAATAGTGGATGGTGGATGGTGGATGGTCAGTCATTTTCTCACATTAATCATTTTGGAATCTTGCATATGTTCGTCACGGTTCATATCACCACTGCCGAATGGTGGATGGTGTAGACCGGTCCTCCTCGATAATGGCAATATTCCAAACCCTGTATGACGTATATGTGGTGCAGACCGGTCCTTCTCAGTGCTTACGCCCCTTGGTTCCCACACAAATTAAAGGCAGAAAATCTTTTCAAAGAATTCAACATGTAAGGTTGTTTTGTAGCTTTCCTCGCACGTTCCTTGCAACTTTTATGATAGGCAATTCATTAGGCTTTAATGGCATGCCTCATCAATTCACTATTGTAAGAATATCGGGGCAGACAGACGTGACCCGACATGTTTCAAAAGCCATAAATATTGTAGAACATGACCAATCGCCAATGGGTTAATAATTTTGGCACCATTGAAGAATGGTCTTTGGTGTGGAGTTTTACTACTGCTTCAAATTAGTTCGAGTTCAAATTATATATACAAGGGCTGGGTATTTGAACTTTCATTCAGGACGATAATTAGGTAGTCCGCAATCCACAATAAATTGATACCTATTGTAGGCATAATTTACTAAACAATTATGAAGACCAGAAAGAAGAAGGTGTGGCATAGAGAGAAGAAGAGAGAGATGTGTAATTGTGGGTGTGTTCTATTTCACCCCATTGTGTCTTTATTTATAGTAGTAGGATAGGTAAAAACTTTTCCCTTTAGGATTACAACATTTAATAGGTAATCACCTCCTAATAGGAATATAAGAGATATTCCAAGATATACTAGGATTTGCACAATCACATTCCTAATCTAATAGGATTGCAACACTCCCCCTTAAGTGTGTAAATACTCAAGTAAATAGCGCATCAAGTCTTTAGTGATGAAGCAAGTATAGTTGATGAAGTCGTCGCCACAATGAGCGAATGCAAGTCTCAAATCAATGGAAGAATGCATACAAAATAAAACTCACAAAACCTCGCTATGGTAAAACCCAAGGTGGGAGAAAAACTCATAGACTAAGGAGAAAAGTGAGAAGTTACATCAAGTCAAAACTATACGTCTTTTGGATGCAAGTAGAAGAGCTCATAAGAGTATGATCAGCCCAGGATGGGTTCCTCGTTAAAACCTAGTTAGGTAGCAAAAACCCAATGGGAAAAATGCTTATAATCGTAGGGAAAAAGAGTACATTAAGATCAAGTGAGTATACTTCTGGATACTCCCCCTAAGTTTGACATAACTTCCATATGAGAACTACAAGCATTGCGTATGATAGTTAGGCATACCAATTCCTCGGACAAGCTTATGGAAGGTTGACTTCGGCAGTGACATCGTGTAGAGGTCGGCAAGGTTGTCTAGGATCGGCTTGCATGACTTCAATCTCCTGATGTTTTGCTGATGTAGATGTAGACGCAATATGTCTTGGTGTTGACTTCGTTGATGTATCATGGCTTGGTTGGGTTGATACATGCGGCATAATCTTCACGGATCGTTGTCGAGACTCAACGATGGATGAAAACACAACAAGTACTTTGAATATGCTCAACAAGAACTCCTAACCATGTCTCACTTGTGGGGTAGTGAAGTAAGGTGGGTTTTGGAACGATTCGAAGATTTCGCAACTAAGTTCATATCGTAGACCTCCAAGATATTAGGATATCCCTAACGGTAAAGACATAACCATTTGGGAATTTTGCCTTGTGTGGGTTTGATAAGTAACCTGCGTCAGCATAACAAACAAGACAAGCATCATTTTGAGGATCAGGGGGTTGGATCCGCTAAGATGCATTGGGATTTGCCTATGTAATACCTTCAGGGTACGTCTTTAATACCAATTCAGTGGTTGCGTGTAGGCGCGGTGTTGCATCTTTACCAAGATCAATAGCGAAGGAGATGTCCTGTCTAAATACAATGACCTAAGTACAACGAAGCGCAAAATTGAACTTAGATATGGAATTTCGGATTCCATAACCTCTTCAAGGGTCTCATTTGCATATAA